AGCCAAATCCAATTCTTCCTTCCACAAGTTACTTTTGATCATGATGTTTTATCACCACAGTGGAAAAGTAACCGCCATTACACACTCTCAAACAGACTTCCTCTTTTTGTCCCTATATGGCTTGGTGGTTTCACCAGAGTGTTTCTCAACACACTTAGACTTGTTCCTGTTCCCTGGTCCCCGTGTCATCCATCTAATCACTGAGTGTTTGTTTGAGGTCTCCCACACCCAAGGACGACTTTGAACTACTGATCCTCCTGCCTGCCGCTTCCACACACTGGACTTACAGACATGCACTACCACACCAGGCTAATCACAAAGTCTGAAAGCTTTTGCCTTGACTTTTTCCTGGTTCTGGCCATTCATCCCCATGTGCAGCTCCACTGTGGCAAAGTGACACAGCCTGGTCCCCTCCAGTCTGTCTTCTGCACCCTAAGACTGTGATGTCAGAATCCAGCTGCTGCTCAGGGTACAGCACCGCCCTTCACCTCTCACAGAGACACTGCTGTCCAGACTCTGTTCTCTCCAGCTCACCTGCTTCCATCCAGGTCCAAGGTTTCACCTGGACAGTGATTTTAGTCAGTGACGGTATTAGTGACCACACATCCTGTTCCCTTTCCTGCCCCCTTCCTGGTTCAGCTTGTGCCGTGAAACCACCACTATCCTCCTCAGAAGGACATAAAAAGAATCCCCTTCTCTCTTAGGGCCTCTGCCATGTGCGTGGAGCCTGAAATCTCCTTAGAGTGCCCTGCCATGTTGATATCTACTTTCTGTCTGTCCATCACATCGATAACCTTTAGTAAACTCCTTCCTCCCTGGTAATCTGTCCCAGTGGCCCTCTTGAATCTGAGATTTTCACAATACTGATGTCATTACACCAGGGCGCTGTGGTGGCCACTTCATTTTTCCTCTGGTATCAGAGACTTGGGGACCTGATTTACCAGGTTCCCTCTGGTCATCTCCTGCCTCCCCCACCAGCACCACACTGCTCAAGAGTTCCTGAGATGGTTTCCCTTTCCTGGAGGGCCACAGAGTGTCCTCTACATGACTTCCAGTCCTTTCTTGGCTATTTTGTGGAAGGAGGAGTGTTGAGATAAATTCTCATATAATCCAGGCTAGTCTTGAACTCAAGATCCTCCTGCCTCCACCTCCCAGCACACTTACTGAGGCGTGGATCACAATTGGCTGTCAGTGTTTCATTTTTAAGTTGTATTAGATATATTTATTCACTGTGTATGTGAGTGTGCACATACCATGGTGTGGGTGTGTTAGAGGACAATGTCCAGGACTCAAGCACTTTCCTGACTCAGCCATGCCCTGACCCTCGCATCTGGGCTGTCGTCAATCCCCTTCCAGGACTCTGGTGTGGACTGTTCTGTGGAAACACTCAGGAAGTGCGATGGGGTGCAGTCTTGGACCACTTACCTTTCCTTCTCCTCCACCCGAGGAACACTATCAACCCTAGAACCCCAGCCAGGAGTACAGCAGCAGCCATTGCCAACCCAACTCTGGTTCCCAGACCCAGGATCTGACTCTTCCTGCTCTTCTTCCCTTCTGTGGCTGTGAGTGCAGTTCTGGTGAGTGCAGAAGTTGCAGAGGTGGGGCTTGAAGAGGTGGTCCTGGGGGCTGGGAGGAGACAAAGGAAGTCAGCATTGAACGTGATTGGGAAGTGTAAGTCAAATAACCTTTTCCTCCCTAAGTTCTTTGGTCATGGAGCTTTTTACAGCAATAGAAACTCGAACTAGGATACCTGCTGCCTCTGAATCCCAAGTCATGGGCTCTGTTCTAGTTTCAAGTCCTCTGTTGAATCCCCATAGGGCCCCTGCTGAGGGACGATTTCTGTCCAGGATGCTGCAATCTGTCTCCTGCAGTGCCAACTCCATTCCCCCAATAGCAGTGACTGTACCCTGCAGCCATGATGCTTTCACAGGGGTCGGGCACTTCCTGTGGAGGAGCAGCGTGGGGCTTTGGTGTAAGTGGAAGTTTCTGTCCCTTCAGGAACACCCAAATACCTGGCAACTGCTTCCCAAATTACCTCTCAGAGACTTATATAATTAATATACATTATATTATATAATAATATAATTATGTATAAATGCTGTGCTGGTAGCTCAGGCTTATTACTAACTGGCTCTTACACTTAAATTAACCCATAATTCGTATCCATGTTTAACTTGGTACCTTTTCTCAGTAGTGCAGTCTCATCTTGTGTTCTCTGCATCTGCCTGAGGACTCCTGACTCAACCCTCCTCTTCCCAGCATCCCCAGGGAACCTGTGTGTGTTGCCATGCACTTGTAATCCCAGTACTTCAAGGGGGAAAATAGGCAGATCCCTGTGGCTCACTGCCAGCTGTCCTAGCCCACTTTGTGAGTTTAGCCCAGAGAACGACCCATCAAAGGAAACAGAGGAAGAGAGGGAGAGAGAGAGTTAGATAGAGAGAGAGAGAAACAAAGATAGAGAGAGACAGAGAGTGAGAGAGAGGGGAAAGAGAGAGACAGAGCAAGAGAGAGGAAAAGAGAGAGACAGACAGAGAGAGACAGAGACAGAGAGACAGAGAAGGAGAGAGGGAAGGAGAGAGAGAGACAGAGAGCGAGAGGGAGATTGAGAGAGAGAGAGAGAGAGAGAGAGAGAGAGAGAGAGAGAGAGAGAGATTGAGAGAGAGAGAGATCTATCACTAGGGGTCTCTTTGCTTAGACATGAAAGAGAAAACGTGCAAAGGAGAGTACTATTGAATTTGGCTACAAAAATGAAATTATGAAAAGAGAATTATTAAGTCAACCACAGGGCTCTTGTTGCACATATTTCTCTGGATGCAATGCATTTGCCTTTGCCCTAAATGAGGATATTTTGCTCAGATAAAACATTTCTTTCCAGGTCTGTGGATGCAGCTCAGTGGTGGAGTGCTTGCCTAGGGTGCACGAGGCCCTGAGTCCATCTCAAGCAGGGCACACAGGAGTGGAAAAACTCCATTTTGGTCCCAGCTTTGGGAAAGAGTTCAAGGCCATCTTAGGTTATATAGCAATTTGAGACTAGCATGGACACATGAAACCCTGTCTTAAAGAAATGGGAAAAAAAGAAAAATGCCTTCTTAATGTTAATTTTAATATTTTACAAACAATGGGCAGGAATATCCAGTTAATGAATTAATTTTTAAAATGCTGATAAAAAAAATACTGATGGAAAAACTCATAGTGGAGGTGAGGTGTAAGTCAATGACAGAGCCCTTGTCTAGTGTGCACGTGGCCCTGGGGACAAGAAAAAACACATGGTGTGTCTGCCGGAAGCAGAGAAAGGCATGGCTGCCTTAAATTGATTGTTCTACAAGCACCTAATAGATTATCACCAAGGCTGGAGACATTGGGAAAGGAGGAAGAGGGAGGAGGCTGGAAGAACAGGAGCCATTTAGGAAAATGTGTAGGAGACCCAGGAAATGCAGATGTAAGGTGCCTGTCAGCTCTGGCTGTGGAGTTTATCCTGAACCAGCACAGGGTTAAGATGAGGACTGGTTTGCCGGGAGGTGGGGAGTGGGATGGTGCATTTAATCTAGAAGAGATAAACCTGCTTATCACTGGCACGGCTCAGAATTGGGGATGTAATTAATGATAATTATTATTTGACTACTAATTTTATATTTTATTTTCCAAAAATGTATTTTTATATTAAATTTTTGCACACATACAATGGTGCATGAATGTGTGTGTGTGTGTGTGTGTGTGTGTGTGTGTGTGTGTGTGTGTGAATGCCTCTACATGTGTGTGTGTGTGTGTGTGTGTGTGTGTGTGTGTGTGTGTGTGTGTGTGTGAATGCCTCTACATGTGTTTGTGTGTGTGTGTCAGATGTTAACATTGGGCGTTCCTTCCTCAGATGTCATTCACCTTATTTGTAAGACAGACCACATGAGCACCTGTAACCACAACACTGTGGAGATGGAGACAAGAGGATCAATGGGCTTCACAGCCCATCAGCCTGGCCCCAAACAGTGAGCTCCAGGTTCAGTGAGAGACCCTGCCTCAACGGAATAAGGTGGGTCTTACTAGAGGAGGACTCCTAATGTCCATCCACCTCTGGGACTTCCCAAGCACAAACTGAACCCCCTCACACTCATGTGAATCCATGCAGCACACATGCATACACGTGCATGCTTACACAATATATACACACTCCACATAGTCAAGATAGAAGCCAGGCAAACAATAGTGTGAACTCCACAGAGACCACGTGTCTACTGGTTGACAGATGTTTGGAGGTAAAGGGTCCATTTCAGGGCCTGTTCCTCACCAGCATGAACTTGTGCAGCTGTTGAAATCTACTGGTCTCTGTGTTGCTCTGTACAATGACCATGAGAGTGCCCAGCAGTGGTAACAGGTGGCTGGGGTAATGTCCACACAGTGACTAGGCTGGGCCTGTGTGCACTCTGTGTGGAAGCTGCAGTTACAGCTGCCATGGAGGAGAAGTGACCAGAGAACCTGATCATGGTGAGAACATGAGGGTCTGTGTGGGAAGATGGGGGATGGGGAGGGAGGAGGGGAAGAGGGAATTGAGGGAGGGAAAAAAGAAACTGGGGCAGGGAGAGGTGAGGGATGCGTCCAGAGACTGGTGAAGTGGGGGGATCCAGAGGAGGAGGGGTTCACAGGACCAGAAGGCACCTACTGTGGAAGGCACGAGATATGGTGTAAAGTCTAGATCTGATGGAGACCCTGACACAGGACCAGGTGAAGGCTGCTCCGTCCTGGAGAGGCCAGATCCACGTGGATTTGTGTCAACGAGGGTGGGGTGGGCAGGGCGGTAGTCAGTTTGGAGAAAGGAGCAGGAGACTGGGCCATCTGGGAAGAGCTGACTGGGGCTGGGGTGGATCTGAGGGCAATGAGGGGCAGCTCAGAGAGAGCAGCTAAGGCTTGGGGATGGTTGTGGGGAAGAGGAAAGGTGGGGTTGTCAGAGCTCTGGGGAGGGGACAGAACACATGAGAGGAGTCTGTGGGAAGGAACAGAGTGTAGGATCCCTAATGACATCTGTGGTACAAGGAAGCCAGGGTCACCAGGGCCTGACCTGGGATGTGCTCACTAGGAGTGATGGTGAGGTGGGTCTCTTCAATTGACAGCCACACCTCCATACCATATCTCGTGTTCAGACTAACGTGGCAGAAGTATTTTGTCTGGTCCTTTTTCTTCAAGTTCAGGATTCTGAGGACTCCAAATGTCTGAGGCTGTGTCCAGTTCAGGATGAGCCTGCTCTTGAAATGCTTATATATGAAAGGTGGGGTGGAGTTGTAGATAAATTTCCCATGGAATTGCTCCCATCTCCAGAGAATCCTCATCTGTGGATCCTCTGCCAACTCCCAGGGGAAGTAGAAGGAAAAGGGGATCTCGATGGAGCCGCCCTGGACACCAGAGAGTTTTGCTGGTTGGTTGACCCCAAAGGCATTTACTCTGTTAGATCCTGCAGAGTTACCTGGGAAGTACGGAGAGCATCTGAAGCCACTGCAGGAATGGTTAGGACAACCCAGACCTTCCTGAGCCTTCACCCACAGGCAGGGGTGGGACACAGGGCAGGACAGTCCTTATGTCCCACTGTCCCATATGGAAAGACAAGGAAAGGTTGGGCTGGACCCACTCTGAGGATGAGCTCTCTCTTGGGGCACAGAGCACTGTCTGGCTCCTTCAGCAGACCCTTGTCCACATGACAGCCTGCTCTTCCCAGCCCCACTGGCCCCTCCTGTGGTTAGGGCAGAGTCCCTGCTAACAAGGTCCCCACCACTCACCAGCTTGCAGACAAGCAGCTGACATCAGCAGAAGCAGGATCCAAGCCATGGCCTGATTCCCTCCAGGAAGTGAGACCAGCAGAGCCATCAGACAGGAGAGGAGCCCTGTGCAGGGACCCTGGGGTGCTCAGGAGTCAGGAAGAATCAGAGTAAAGTGGAACACAACCCCAGGGCCTTCTCATGTGGAGGACTGAGCCCGGGAAGAACCTCCCCATCTCCACCTCCTTGTGACCAGCAGCTTCCTTCATGATTCTGGCTTCTTCTTTCTTGTGTTACAGAAGATCCTCCCTGTGATCATTGAGAGGATGGCCGGGCCCTTGAGCCCAGCCCCCATTTTTGACAGGAACATAAGGAATTGACCTCAACATGCCAGGCTCTCCTCTCTTCCATCTTTACCTCCTATCTTATCCAGTCTCGTCCATTTCCCATGTGGCCTGTAATCACTGTTTCTTCACCTCCAGATTTCCTTCACTCCTGCCCTTTCCCTCTTCATCTGTTTCTCATTGTGTCTCCCACCATACTGGTTGTCTGTCTGTCTGTCTGTCTGTCTGTAGGTCTGTCTCTCTAATAACCTCAGGCACAGAAGTGGTCAGTTTCTGCTCACTTCAGACACAATGAGAATGGAGGTGATGAGGAAACACATTCACTCCCAGCCCTAGCTTGGTGTCCCCACCACCATCTGCTCTTTGTCCTCTTCTTGTCCTTCAGGGACTCTTCACAGCACCCGGCAGAACCAAGGCCCAGTGGACACTCTCGCCCTGGCCTGCTCACTGCTGCTGTAACTGCCCTGGTTTTCCTGGGTGATCGTCTCCCTCCCCTAGACACTGACTCCAAAGCTGCTCCAGTTTCTGAAGGAGACTTTCTACATCCCACCAGCCTCCACACACCTCAGAAGAGGATGCCAAGGATCAGAGAAGCCCTGGCACATGTCACATGACTGTCACAGGGCAGGTTGACTGGACTTCGTCCCATCAAGGACTTGTAGTCCTCCACTCCACACAGACTTCAGCCTGCCTGCTCCGTGCAGCCTCTGAGCTCTCCTCAAAGACCAGGGATCTGCTGCTGGGTTCCCAGGAGGTTGTTCCCACAAAACATTTGAGTGACTCCTTGTAGCTGTGGCTGTTCTAGAACCTTCTTTGGATGAAGTGGAAAAAAGACTCAGAGCAGCCATGTGTCACTCATGACATGTTGCCTGGGACATCTCTGACAGTGGACACACTGCCCAGTGACTAGGATGCAGGGGTGAGAGGTGGGGGTAGAGGCTCTGATGACCTCAGGCCAAGTTCTGCAGGAGGGTCATCCTACCCTTCCTCTTGACATGGTTCCATCAGTTCTGTGGAAGACAATTTTGTACCAGAGGAAGAGGCATCATTCTCTCTGAGTGACATGTGCAGAGGTGACTTCCCATTTCCTTAGATTCCTGCACTGATTGCCTTCTCCATGCTTCCCTGCAGGTGGCTGTGCAGCCGCCTCTGTCACATCTGCTGTCTCTGTCTTCCTCACATTCCCCACAGTTCCCATGGTTCTCTGATTTCTTGACCTGACCCAGGCTGAAACACTTATGGCTTCACTCCCAGCAGCACATGGACACACTTCTATGTCCATCTATCCTGCATTTGGAGACGCAGATACACAGAACCTTTGAGATGAGTTGGTCCCAGATGGTTAGTTAGGAGAGGGGTTAGGGTCTATTGAATCTGTCAGAAGGGCCCCTCTAACCTTTATTGAATGTGGCCTCATGTAGCCCAGGCTGGGCCTTGAATTTGCTATGTGCCCATGGATGACTTTGAAAACCTACAGATCCTCGTCTCTGCCCTCCCAAGGGCTGGGGTGACAGGTGTGCCCCATTGTGTCCCTTTGTCTCCTGCTGGAGATAGAACCTAGAGTTCTGTGCATGCCAGGCAGGTAAGCACTCTACCAGATGAACCACATCTTTATCCTCAGTGAAGTCCGAGAGAAGATCCTCCTGGTCATGGATACTCACCTCCAGGCTTTATCTGGTCTTTCCTTACAGTCTGGGTCTGTGGGTAAAAAGGTCACTGGATTGCTAACTCTCTGCATGAAAGGCTGGGCCTGATGAGGCTGCCATATGTCAAGTGTTAGACCCCAGCATTTTTACACAGCAGGCTCTGGTTGGATCTTCAGGACCCCAGCTGCCCCTTGTGCTCAGCCTCACTGCTGCCACCTGCTGGACCCTGAGTCCCAAGTCATGGACTCCATTGGAGTTCCAAGTCCTTAGTTGAATCACCATAGGGACCCTGTTGTGGATATTTTTATGCCCAGGATGCTGTAATCAGTCTCCTGCATTGCCAACTCCATTTCCCTCTACAGCAGTGACTGGGTCCTGCAGCCATGATGCTCTCAGAGGGGAGGGGCGCTTTCTGTGGAGGAGCAGCCTGGGGCTTTGGGGTGTGCACAGGGCTTCTGCACATATGACCATGGGGAGTGTCAGACTGCAGTGTGAGAACCTGGCTGCTGCTCAGACTGTAGCACATGTGTGCCCTGCCCTCACAGAATAAAGAAGGAAATGTAATTTTAAATATTTAAACACAAGGTGGGCTGGACATAAGGATGCATTCCTTTAATTCTACTTTTTTTTGCGGGGGGGGGGGGCGGCAGAGCAAGAGGCAAATGGATCTTTTTGAGTTCCAGGCTATCCTGATCTACATATACAGTTCCAGGCCTGCAAGAGCTATATAGTTACTGTTTCAAAAAAACAAAAGCAATCAAAATAAAAAACAAAATCCAAACCAAAGAACATAAACCACAAAAAAGAACCAAAAACCACAAGGTGAATGGTGTCCTGATTAGTAATGCCTGGGGCTGTCCTCTGGCTTCCACATGCACAGACTCACTTGCACACACACGCACATGAACACAGACACACACAATCATGCAAGGCACCTTTCACAGCTGATTTGTCACCACATGTTTACCCAGTCCTCATCCTGAGTAAACATGGTCTCCCCGGCCAGGCTCTGTGACTCTTCAGACTCCAGTTCCTGACAGTGACCCCAGCATTCAAACTCTGATTTTATACCCAGCTGTGTTTTCCCATAACAGTGGTGGCAGAGAACCGGATTGGCCCACCTATTTCTGGGTGAAAAATCCAGTTCCAGAAACTTCCCTCAAATAACCCACAGTGCAGACCCTGTGGGCCTGACACACCAGATAACCTCATTGAGGAAAACTGTCCATCTGTCTGCCCTTCCTGGCACACCACCTACCCTCCCACTCCTTGATTTCTTTCCCCCAGTGACAACATACAGACCCTAGATGTAACCAAAGACTAGCCCAGTTCTGGGTCCTGAGGAGAGTGGAGGAGATGCTAGAGAAGGTGGAAGGATGGCGGCTGGTGGTGTAGACAGGACACTCAGGCTGCACCTGAGACTTTACATTAGCACAGTTGCCCTGCCCCCATCTGACCTCTTCTTTCTCCCCTAGGATGACATCCTCATCTTCATCTCCCTCATGTGCTGCCCAACATCAGCATGGCACCTCCCTGTACCCCTGCCCAGGGGAGATCAAGAAGGGAATCTAAAGTGTCTTAAGGCTGAGTGAGCAGGGCTGGGTGATCAGCTCAGTGTTTTGCATGAATTCTCCCATCTTCTGCAGAGAGCTAAGGCCAGAGGCTGAAACTTACATGTTTGAGGTCACAGAAATGGAGAAACTCCCAATTTCCTCTTTAACACTGTATATTGCTTAAATGAAACTATAAATAGTCACATGATTTGTTTGAGAGAATCTAAAGAAAAAACTGGTGATATCTTCAAGTTCTCTGTCTCCTACCAAAGTGAACTAACAGATAACCAGCCTCCATGACCTTGCTGATGCTTTGGACTTATGGTTAGCTTGCTCTTTGTTTAGTTTTGAAACAGAGTCTCATGGAGCCCAGGCTGTCCTCAAACTCAGTAGGTCCTAATGACAGCCTCCAGTTCATGATCTTGCTATCTCTACAGTCAATCTTTGGGATCACAGGAATATGCCGCCTCTCCTGGCTTCCTCTAGTAATTCTTTTAACTGACTGGCTCAGGCCAGAGAACACAAATCCCAAACACAGGTAGCCATGCTAGAAGCCATGTCTGCTCCCCATTCCAACAGTAATGTTCCTTCACCCTGAGGGGATTTGACCTAAATGTTGTTGAGAACGTAGGTTCTGTGAAGTCTTTGCTGTGGGCTCCTTTGCTGTTTCTTCCCTTTGAACAATGGAAACTGATGACATGGCAAGTCACATGACCACTGGAGAAACAGCTTTGAGGCTCCTTTCCTGTGCCCAGCCTCCTGGAAGGAGGAGATGATGAATAAACACTCCCATTGAAGACTGGCCAGACCATCATCCTGGCATTCTGCTTGTGTGAACACCCAGGGATGCTCAGAGGAGACACCACCCCAGCTGCCAAGATCACTGTGACCATGGCTGCTGCTGAGTTCAGCCTCAGGAGGCTTGGATCCAGTTACACCACTGCAGACATCTCACAGCTGCCTCAGGAGACCTCACTTCAGCCAGGAGAAGCCTGGGTGACTTCTCCAGGACCCCTCCTGTCTTCAACCAGTCTCATGGGAATTGGGGACAGTTTCTTAATAGACTCATCAAGTTGATATACCATGAGACATGACTAGTAAGTGTGGTGATATATTGTGCACCCCAATAACCTTATCTGGGGATCAGAGGGCAGAGCCAGCCACTAGATTAGACATAGATGTCAGAATGTGATGGCACATATCCTTAATCCTATCACTGGGAGACAGTGATTTGTGTGGATCTCTGTGAGTTCAAGACCACACTGGGAACAGAGCCAGGTGTGGTGAAACACTCCTTTAATCCCAACACTTGAGATCTCATGCCTTTGCTTGGGAAGCATATATGCCTTTGATTCCAGGAAGTAAGATGGTTGGGCAGAGAAAGGAATATAAGGCATGAGGAAAATGGAACTCACTGTTCTGAGTCTGAGGATTTCCTAGAGGTAAGAACTAGTGGTTGGCTTGTTCTAATCCTCTGATCTTTCAGCTTTCACCCCAATAACTGGCTCTGGGTTTTTATTTTTTATTAATAAGACTGTTTAGCAATTTGTGCTTAAAAAAGAAAAAGGGTTGAGAGCTCCAGGAACAGACAGGAACAGCAGAGTTGTGCTCTCGGGACCAGAGACAGACACAGGGCATCAGAGCCCACAGGGCCGAAGTGGGGGTTCTCTTCTTGTACCTATCCAAGGACAGGATGTGTCCCAGCACAAGACTGCACCCATGCTCCCTGATTCCCAGGCAGGAGACAGGGAAGTGGTGAGATGCAGGATGTGTGGCCATCAATCCCCACTTTGATGTAAACTGACCTCCCTGGTGAGAGTTCACCGCCCTGGAGGTCTGTTAGCTGGGGACTGACAGACAATGTTTGTCTCTAGAAGGAGAGAAACATTTTCCAGAGTCAGTTTTCTCCTTGCACCATTTGGGTTCCCAGAATCATATGCAGATCATTGGGCTAGGCTGCCAACACCCTTTCACACTGAGCTATCAATCTGCTCCCCACTTTTCTCCATTAATTTGTAATTTTTAAATACTTATTTTAAAATAAATTTGAAAAATGTTATCACCATAATTTATCCCCTTGAGGAATCCACATTATTTTTTATGACATGGTCTCTCATTGTTCTGGAACTCAGCAATTAGGCTAAACCTGCTGGACAGACAGCTCCACAACTCTGGCTGTCTCTTGCTTGTCCATGGCTGGGATTACAAATTTCCATCCCCTCCCTAGTTAATAATGAAAGTGCTCCCAATCAAACTCAGGTCCTCCAGCCTGTGTGCAAGGCTTTTCTGGTGAAATTATCTCTCCAGATCCATTGCATGCCTCTTATAAAAAAAATTCCCCAAACAGCCTGTCTTAATCAAAGTTCCATTGCTGTGAAAAGATACCACGACCATGGAAACTCTTGTAAAGAACACTTTCAATGGGGTTTGGCTTACAGTGTCAATGGTTTAGTTGGTTATCATGGTGGAAAGGTTGGTGGTACACAGGCAGATATGGTACTGGAGAGGTAGCTGAGCATTCTACATTCAGATAGCAGGCAGCAGGAAGAGAGAGGGAGACACTGGTCCTGGCTTGATGATTTGAAGTGTGAAAACCCGCCCTCACTGACTCACTTCCTCCAACAAGGCCACACCTACACTAACAAGGCCTCACATCCTATGTGTTACAACCTTGTGACACAGCATACCAATCCTTGAGCCTATGGGTGCCATTCTTATTCAAACCACCACACAGCCCCTCAGCTGCTCCTTGGAATGACAGGCTCTCCCTGGCCGGGGTTCATCTTTAGTCTGCTGGCCTGTAGGAGAAGAAACAGTGTCAGTGTGGCAGCCATGCTGATCCTCCATCTGCCTCTCAGCTCTTCTCTGTATTCAGACAACATTAGGGGCCCAGGGCAGCAAACAGCTCTGAGGGAGACATTCAGGGACAGCTGTGAGAGTCACCAGGACCTGAAGCTGGTCCTCAGCTGTCCTTCTGCACAGCACAGCCAATCAGAGGACAGCTGTCCTGGTCCTTTGCCCCTTGTCCATGTCCTTCTCCCTCTGCTTCCTTCCCCTGCCTTGAACCCATGTCACCTCCCTGCTTTCCCTGCTCTGCACTCACCACGCCTCCCTTTTGTCTCCCTTTGGCTCTCTAGCTCTCCCTGTGAGTGCTGGCTGCTGCCACATTGCAGATTCAGCCTCAGGGTTGGAATCTCAGTCAGAATTCTGCTGCCTCTCAGGCTGCTGCTCTCCAGCTCTCAGATGCTCCTTTTACCTACTGGAGGGCTGAGCCCTTCTGGAAACCTGGGCACTTCCCATATGTGATGCATATACATGCTGGCAAAACAGCCATATACATGAAACATATTTAAATCTTTTTAAAAGAAATGCCACTAGCTTTTCAGTCTGTAGTTAGATTTCATGCCTTTTCCACACTGAATTTTATCTGGCCCAAGCTTTGGTAGATCTTGTGCCTGCTGTCACAATCACTGTGAGTTCATTTGTGCAACTGTCCTGATGTGTTCAGAAAATACTGTTTCTATCACCTGGCTCTTATACAGTCTTTTGCCCTGACCCCCCTCTTTTTCAAAGATCCTTGAGCCTTGGGTAGAGGGGTGTGGTATGTCCTGATGAGGACTGAGATGCCACAATCTCTTATTCTCAAAATGATGTAGGCACCTTTAGCAACTCTGTTGATTGTCACCTGCTGCAAGGAGAAGCAGCTCTGACAAGGTTGAGAGACGCACAGATCTGTGGGGACAGCAGTGAAGTTGTTAGAGTCACTTTAATTCGATGTCCATTAAGTAGAGGATGGGAGTGGATTTTCCTTAGGGCCTAAGATTTGTCTACACACAGGTTCTTGGACCCTTTGAAAGTGCCAGGTATGGGTTCCATCTCATGGAATGGGCCTTAGAATTTTGACATTTTATTTATTTATTTTTAATATACATATTTAAAATTTGTATGTGTATGGGTGTTTTGCTTGCACATATATCTGTGCACCACATTCATACTTGGTGCTCACAGAGGCCAGAAGAGGGTGTCATTGAGGTGAGCCACACGAATATGTGGAATATAAGGAGTCTAGCTGTATATAATAAGCTATGCCTTGGCCGACCAAGGCTCTTTCAAGTGGGAAGCCACTTATCATGGAATATTTGGTGTTATTCAGCTTTAATATTCAGCTGCTCATTTTGATGAATTTCTTGTGCTCATAATTCTCATAGAACATGTATGTATGAGCATCCTGCTTTTGCCAGTACTTAGATAAGGTCACAAAGGTAGGGACTTCTGCCTCTGAGCTCCCTGCTCCATTTTAACATTTGAATTGGGTGTCTGCCTTTTGCAAATTTCCCCTTCAGGTAGGGGCAGCCTCAAACAAAGCACTGAAGGACTAGCAGGGGACAGAACATCTGAGACCATCCCTTGCCTTCAGGCCTAGTGGCACTCCAGAGCAATTGACTGAGAACAAAGGAGGTTTTTACATATCCAGGTACAGGGAAAGGTGGAACAGGATTCCTGGGAGACAGAACCACATGGCCAGAGATAAGGGAGGAAGATTCTGTAGAGGGTAAGGCAGATCTCTTGTAGAGTTTTTTGAGAGCCAGGAGCAAGGAGCTAAGTAGGCGAGATGGAGGACAAAGGAACAGAGGATGAAGATGAGGTCAAAAGCATAGGAGCTTACTAAAACTATGAGGACAGGAAAAATAGGCACAGAGAGGTGGGGCCCCATCATCTTTCTGCAGACTTCAAATTCACAGAACAGCCACTATATTAAATGTCGAGGTTTAGGCAGTGGTAGCACATGCCTTAAACCGTAGCATTCCAGAGGCAGAGATGCATCTGTTAGTTCAAGGCCACACTGTAAACAGAGTCAGGCAGTGGTGACAGACACCTTTAATCCCAGAGCTTGAGATCTCATGTCTTGATTGGGAAAGACACATGCCTTTAATCCCAGGAAGTAATGACAGGAAGCAGAAAGGTACATAAGGCATGAAAACCAGGAACTAGAGCTTTTTTTAAGCTTTAGGCCTTTGAGCAGCAGTTCAGCTGAGATCCATTCAGATGAGGACTCAGAGGCTTCCAGTTGTGGAAACAGGATTGGCTGAGAAGTAGGACAGGTGATGTTAGCTGTGGCTTGTTCTGCTTCTCTGATCTCTCTAAGGCTTTAACCCAAATTTCTGTCTCCATGTTTTTTATTTAATAAGATCATTCAGAAATTCATCTACAGAGAGGACCTGAATGTGAGGATGGGGCTCAAGCTATTTGTCATAGAGGAATAAAGTAAATGGACAAAGAACTTGGTGAATCTAGATTCATTCCCCCGACAATGGTAGCATTTCTTCTGGGCCCCTGGGAAGAATATTATTAAGGCTGATCCATGGATAATATTCAAGATGTCATATTCTCTGGAACTGGAATTACAGGTGGTTGGGAGCCACTGTGTGGGCACTGGGAATTGAAACCCAGTTCTCTACAAGAGCAGCAAGTTGTGTTAACTGCTGAGCCATCTTTCCAGCCCCTTGACATTTCAGATACAAAAGTACTAAGTTAGACACTGAAGAGTTCAGATTTCTTCAAGACACATGTTGACTACACAGCTAACACAAGGCTGGAGTCCAAGTGTGACCTGAAAGCCCATACTCCTCATTCTATCCTTTCAGATGCTTTAAACACAAGAATCCAGAAATCTTGCTTGTAAAACATCAGGATAGGTTGACTTAAAGGGACTCTCAAGTTGTCCTTTGTTCTCTTTAGGCCCTAAAAAAATTAAGATTCCTGAAAGCAAGGCCTCAGTGACCAGCTTACCCGAGGAGAAGGAAATTAAAATCATATCAAAGTGCCCTGCTCCACCAGTTCGGCATGGGGCTTGTCCATTGGAAAAGGAAGGAACTGGACCTCAGGAGCCCCTGACATAAGAGGCAGCAAGTTTCCCCCTGAAGATGATGGTTCCAGTGACCTGGACTTGGAACAACTCATGGAAGACACTGGAGAGGCAGAAGAGAGAGGGGAGTCGCAGCAGAGGGATGGCTCAGAGGAGTTCCTGGCGGGCCTCTTTGAGGAGTAGTGTGCTCTGGTCCTTCTACTGCTGACTGCCTCTCAGTGATCCTGAGCAGATGTTGAATGTTGGGGTTGGTGACCTGCTCCATGCTTCAAGTCAGAGCTGTGCATCATGGGTAATAAAGCAGGTCTCTGTGTCCACTGTTTAGGCTGTGCTTCCTTTCATGTCGCTATGGCAACCTGCCTTCTCTGGAGGGTGTAGGAGGCTGGGGACAGCAGCAGGACCCAGGTCTGGGGAACCTTCAGAAAAGCATCTCTGTGAGTCCTGGCTCCCCTATTTCCTGGTAGTGACATGGACTTAGGAAAGCATTGTGACCATCTGATGTTTAGTTCTCTGTCTCACACCATCTATCTAGGGTTGTTGCTGATGTCCAGTGTGGTGGTCCATGGGAACCAGTCACTGTGTACTGGTTATTACCCTCCCAGATGTGGGTGTCCATCATGTAGACTGTCTGCCAGCATTTGGGGCATTCTCTGCTTTGGGCAGCCAGAAAAAAAGTGATAGAGGAGAAGATGTTAGTTATTTAGCTGCGTTGTGTTCTTACCCTGCAAGGAAGTGTCACAAAACACGACAGAATCCGCTTATACGAGTTTATTCGAGTTAAAGGTACAGAGTGCGCTGGCCTGTGGGAGATACACATGCATGGAGAAGAAGAGAGGAGAGAAGAGAGAGAGCCGGGAATATGGCGCTCTGCTTTAAAAACCGGCTGGGGGCGTGGCCAGGTCACGTCACTACTCCACACATGTGCGTAGATCACATGGTCACGTTGCGTGCTTATGTGGCCATGTAACATCACGGATCCTGGTCACGCGAGACGCCTTGACCCGGAAATGGCTATCTTGACTTGGAATTGGCTAGGCGGAAGTGTCCGCCTGGTATATGCGACCGTGCGGGCGTGTTGTGAACCCTTCATTCCCGACTCTTTCCTTTTTAAAAAAGAAAAAATTGTGGTTGACTGGGTATGGGGGCGACGTTTCTCTCAAAGACTGCTTCCAGCTGAATAGTGGGCGTTGGTTGGCTCTTGGAGGGGGAGGTGAGGGGTATCTTGTGAAGTCCGGGAATGATGGTGGAGGTCCTGGAATGACGTTCTGCTGTCTCCTCGTTCTGCAGCTGTCCATCCGTGCTGTGGTTGGGGACCTCCCGTGCTGTTGCTGGGGACCTTCTGTTTGACAAGATACTGTTGACATAGAAAGAGCTTAGAGAGAAAGAATCATTATTATTTTATTTTGGAGTTGGCATTTGTCTGAAGTAGATTGCCCAGATAGAGGCATGTGACATTTACCTGAGGTAGATCTGACCTTAGTACTCTGCTTAATTTCTATCTGAGACAAGCCTCATTATGGGTGGTTCATTTAAGGCACCTGTTTTCCTTATTAGGTTAGCACTTAGGAAACACAGGTGATCAGTTGCTGAGTATTGAACAATGATAAATTGTTGTATTACATTATTCCTTACCGCCTGGATATTTTTGATGGTCCTTTTTGCCTCCGGCTCTGTGTGGCCCTGGGTGGGAAAGGGAGGGGTGATACCTTATTCCTCTGGAATTGGTGA